TATACAACACAATAAACCCCTTTGCAATGATTACATTCATGACCAAAGAAAACAGTAACCCGAGGGATCCTAATTTTAGCAACCTATCTATAGAACATCTTCACTTCCACTATCTTGTGTTCCTTCTGTGCTGTAGTATCATTAAAAGAAACAAAATATCTGAAATCATAATATAAATCATGACTGTTTTTCCTCAGAGACTGTAACTCAATATACTCCATGATTTAATAGGAAAAAAGAGGGCTTCCATTTCTTTCTGAAGGGCAGAAATTGTTTTCTTGGTCCTTCAGTCTGTTCTTATTTCTCATCTGTATTTTTACAAGGAAACTAGATTTTGCTTTCAGACAAACAATTTCAGGTAGCAAAACCCTTCATTCAGTATGCCAAGAAGACAGAAATATTCAGTTTACAAAGTTCACACAGAAAAAATAGAAATTATTTTCCGAAGACACGGGCGAATAATTAAAAAAGGAGATATCTTGATACCCTTTCTTCCAAACCAAGCAATCTAACATATACAAGGGTAACTCAGCAGTGAAAAGTGTTAGGTATAAAATAACTTATTAAATATATATGCTTCTTTTCATAGATGAAATTATTTTCCATACTAAGCACTCTTAAGATGCTACCAAAGTTAACATTATGTGTCCCAAAAATTTATGCATGTAAAATTATACAAAAAAGATAATTTTATGTTAGAACTTCATTATTCCATTTAAGTAAAAAAGGCAGCATGAGCAAATGAAGATCTATGTTCAGTACAATCTATATTTAAACATATGTAGATGCATAGCAAAGGACATTGTAACATAACATTGAACCTATCTTTAGCAAAGAGGTTTGCTAATAGTGATGATCTAGTCATAAGGATCTAGTTAACAGTCAGTTCAGTGACTGACATCATCCTTTGAGCAGCAGCTCTTAGAAGGCCCTAATCCAGTCTTCACTGATCTTAGTGGGAAGACCAGCACAGATTGAAGCACACACTGAATCAAGTCTCTGCTAACGTTCAGGAAAGATCTGTGCACAGAATAGCAGAGTCTGGCATCTTCATTGCTGAAACAACTGACTTACCAAAAAAGAAGGAAAAAAAAAAGGAAAAAAAATACATAATTTCTTAATTCACTTTTCTGTAACTGCAGTAACGTGCCTCAATTACTGTCTTTTTTAAAGTAATATGTCGAATGAATGATCAGTGCCAAAGTGCAAACCAGAAGTGGTTTCTGGAATCCAGTGTTAAGTTGATGCAAACCTTAATAGCTTTATTGCACCTTTTCATACTTCAGCTGTTATCCAGACATCACAGCTAGATAATGTGCTACAAACATGGTGTAAAAAAAGGATGACGGAGAAAAAACACAAAGCATTAATGCCTGTCAGATATCTACAGATGTAAATCCCTTTTACCAAGATGACTAACAAATCCTGAAAAAATAAAAAGCCCTAGGAAGGAAGGAAGAAAGAAACCACATCCTCTATGTGGTTAAAACATGTTTTTAGAAACCACGGCTTTAACCATGCAGCAAAAGCATCCCGCTATTCACTTCATTAAAAAAAATAAAAAAGGAAAAGAGATTGATATCAGGCTGTTCCTAGTGCTAGAGGGAGATGGAGAGCCAAGAGTGCCCCTGCAGGACTGATCCCTCTATCATTTTCAGATGCTTGAGTTCCAATTTCTGAAGAAGAGGAAAGAAGGGGGAAAGATTAGGAAACACTGGCAGCTAGATGCATGGCGTAAGGACCTGCCCAGAATGGGAGAGCTTCTCTCTGTCTCAAGGTATAACTGGCAGAATAGCCAAGAAAATTATGGCCTTCATTTTTCCCTTCTCACTGTGGTAGTTAACAGAAGTGCCTAATTTGAAGAGAGCTGGACAGGTGGCATATCATGCTGAGCTAAACAGATAAGTGTGAGATTTAAATAACAAGAGATAGCAAGTTTTGCTGTTGTAAAGAGAATGAATTATTCTGGTGGTACCAGTGGGCACAAGTGGAAGGTCAGCTTGAAGTGCCGCCAGCATCAGCCTGGTTCCTGCTGGCAGATGGTGCCAGTTGATGGGGATAAGAGAAGGGCTGACATACTCTGGGGCTGGCACACACACTATCAGCTCAGGAATATGAAAAGTTTGGGGGCAGGTACAGATTGATGCAGATGCTGCCACCCCCAGTGCCAGCGCGAAGGTGGTAAGGATGGACCAGCAAGGAAGTGCTGCAGGAAGCGGGGGGGGCTGCAGGTGCTGCCAAGGGGCTGGCCCAGGCCGAGCTCTGCACGGCCCCAGGGGAGCTCAGGAGCTCGCTCGCCCGCCGCGCAGCCCCGCGGAGGAGCCCGCAGGATCCTGCGCCCGCCGCAGAGCCGTGCCGGGCGCTGCTCACGTTCCCATTTCCAGGCTTACGCAACGCCGCGAGGGCAGGGGCAGCCTGCAGAGAAGTGGAGCAGCAGGAGATGCAGGCAGCCTGGATCCCCGTGGGGCTTCCTGAAGTGTCCCAAACTAGAGAACTGGCCACCTCCCCACTACTGCTCCTGCAACGTAATTATTCCAGCATGACTGACATGACAAATTAACAAGGCAGCCAGGGCTTGTGCAGCAGAAAGGAGTGTTTTCCCCCAGAATAAATTGTTCCAATCCTTTACACTAGACACCCAGCCGTGCCCATTCATTAATTGGACAAGCTCTGGTGACAACTGAAATTACCTGACTTCTGCATACTGGAGGGGAGAACAAGGGCTTTGCAGCCTTAAAAGGAAAAGCCTGAAGCCGGAATCCCAGCCACCGTGCAGTTCTTTGGATGGGGCTTTCTTTTTTTAATTCTTTTTCAGACCTGAGTGCCAGTAAATCTCCTTTTCAAAGCAGAGGCATGGTCTTTAGAGGATTCTGTCATTCCTCTCTTTGCAGCCCCTGAAATGTGGCACCAAAACCTGACAGCTCATCCAGCGAACCGCAACCCTTTTAAGACCCACAAATCAACCAAGTTTAAGAACTTTAGCAGCCACAAAATGCTGAGATTACTGCAATGTTGGGATTAATTGTCACAATCAGAGTACATGAGGAATTATAAGCATCTGCTTAATCAGTACCCTGTGGTTATTTATTGCAACCAGTGTATCATAATTGTCAAACAGGTACTGGAATAAAGTGGGGTGGGAAGGGGATTTGATGGCTCTTACATTTGGTCACAATGCAGTCACAATACTGTTATGCATAAGGTTTTCAGACGCTATTTTGATTCGGGTTTACCGGTGCCCCTTACTCCTCTGCTACGGGCAGCCTGGGGCTCTGCTTCGGTACTTCTCCCGCCGCCTGCCCGTTCTGCGCTAGCTGCGTACCTGAAATGCAGACGATGAAATTCGCTTGCAGAAGGAAAAGCACCTCCCAAACAATTTCCATCCTCCGATTCTCATGCCAAGTGCATCCCTTGGCGAAAAAAAATAACAAAGATCAATATCGCAGTTTGAACGATCCCAGCAAATTTCCTTTCGGAGTTGCAGACTGTATTCCCCAGATGTGCTGACAACACATGTCCGAGCTCTCTCTCCGCACGGCTCAAGCGAGATCCCTTCCCTTCCTTCGCCCTCCAAGAAAGATCAAGAAGCCAACGGGGCTCTTCCTCCACCAGTGAGAAAAAAATCCACCAGATTTCCCAACAAGACATAGACAACAAACCCCAACCGATCCGGTCCGGAGAGTCTCTATTCCAGGGCGGCCAGGTGCAAGTTACCCCCGAACTCTGCCCGTCTCAGCGGGGCGCGCAGCAGGCCGGGGGGGCGGCAGGGGGCTCCTCTCCTGCTGCTACAAAATGAGCGGAAAGAGGTTAGAGCCGCCGCTCGGCGCC